ATGAGAGCTGTACTATCAGCTGGGGGATTTGAAATAAGACAATGGGCCAGCAACTACCCAGAGGTAATTGCTCATCTACCAACTGAGGCACGATCGGAAAGCTGTGAGTTATGGTTGACCGTAGACAAGACAGACCCACAAGAATCGACACTCGGGCTCTCTTGGCACTGTCTTTCTGACAAGCTTGGCTATCGAAACCGGCCACTATCAACAGAGGAGCCTACCATGCGCAATATTTATAGAGTGCTGGCTTCACAATATGACCCTCTTGGGTACATTTTGCCTTATACCACCCGGGCAAAAATCCTTGTTCAAGCTCTTTGGATAAACAAAAGAGGCTGGGATGACTGCATTGAAAATGAGATGCTCAACAAATGGCAGGAGTGGACCAATGAACTGCAGTATCTTCCTTTGGTAAACATTCCGAGGTGCTATTTCCCAATTTGTCCAGAACCTGACAACGACAAGATAGAAGCTACACATATTCTGTGATGCCTCTGAACGGGCTTACGGTTCAGTGGCATATCTGCGTCTACAGAATAAGGAGGGAGGAATTCATACCTCATTTGTTATGGCCAGATCCCGTGTTGCACCAAAAAAGCAGCTATCAATGCCCAGACTGGAACTGTGTGGTGCCCTTACCGGAGCCCAACTGGCTAAACTCCTATCAACCGAAATTACTCTACCCATTCATAACACTGTTCTCTGGACAGACTCCACCACAGTTCTCACTTGGATCAAATCTGAATCCTGTCAGTACAAGGTGTTCGTCGGCACGCGGATTGCTGAAATACAGGAGTTGACCAGTTCAGAGAACTGGAGATATGTGAACTCCGAACTAAACCCTGCTGATGATATTACAAGAGGGAAATCTCTTAAAGATCTATCTCATGTTTGTCAGTGGACTCAGGGCCCTCGGTTCCTACAAGAGTCAACAGAAACTTGGCCAACGCAGCCTTTCTTACACTCATCAGATGAGAATGAGCTAAGAAAGTCCCTTTTCTGTGCTCATGTTGCTGTATTTCAATCCTCCCTACCCGATCCAGAGCAACACGCAACATGGGCAGACTTAGTCCAAGCTACCTACCAGTCTGTACATGGGACAGTCGCACCCGCTATGTCAGCTTCACAGCGCATTGATACTGAACTGCTTCTTCTGAGACAAGCCCAGCAGGATAGTTTCCCTGATGAAGTCCATGCACTGCAGAATGCTAAAGTTATACGCGCCAACAGTAGGTTAAGTACTCTGTCACCTGAATATGATCAAACCATGGGATTAATTCGGGTAGGAGGTCGCCTTCGCAAAGCTGAGAAACTTGAGATTGATACTTTACATCCTATTGTACTGGCACCTGATCACCCCATCACCAAACTCATAATACAAGACTACGACAACCGACTACTTCATCCTGGTCCCGAACGTGTTTTCGCAGAGGTACGAAGAACTTACTGGATAATCCGAGGCAGGCAAGCTATAAAGAAATATCAACACCAATGCCGAGACTGCAGGCAATGGCGTAGTAACCCAGTTAACCCCAAAATGGCTGATCTTCCTGCTGCTCGTCTACGGTTATACCAACCTCCTTTCTGGTCAACTGGAGTTGATTGCTTCGGACCATTTACAGTGAAGATAGGCAGAAGACATGAAAAACGCTGGGGAATAATTTTCAAGTGTCTCACTACGAGGTGTATCCACTTAGACCTTTTGCATCATATGGACACTGACTCCTTTCTTATGGCGTTACGTCGTTTCATTGCACGACGAGGCAAACCCTTTGAATTAATATCAGACCAGGGCACAAATTTCAGAGGTGGAAATCGAGAACTCCAAGAAAGTTTCTCTGTACTTGAGCCAGCAATCAAAGAGAAACTAAGTGAACAGAGTATTTCATTTCAGTTTAATCCTCCATGTGCACCTCATTTCGGTGGAGCCTGGGAGCGTGAAATTCGCTCCGTGAAATCCTGTCTTCAAGTAGTACTCAAAGACCAGATTGTATCTGACGAAGTACTGTTAACTGTTTTGATTGAAGTGGAGGGAATACTAAATTCTAAACCACTTGGTTATGTATCATCGGAGATATCAGATGCAGACCCAGTTACTCCAAATCTCTTGCTCATGGGGCGGCGGGATGCCTCCCTCCCTCAAGTGGTTTATGGCACAAGAGAATTGCTTGGAAAGAGAAAATGGCGACATAGTCAAGTCATAGCTGACCATTTCTGGAAACAGTTCATTCAGAATTACTTGCCAAGTCTACAACCCCGTGCGAAGTGGCTGAAATCTACACCAAATATATCGGTGGGGCAAGTAGTTATGGTTATGGACTCTCAACTGCCTAGAGCCCTCTGGCCAGTAGGCAGAGTAAACCAAGTTGTTCCCAGCAGTGATGGAACAATAAGAGTGGCGGAAGTAACTGTTGGCAACCGCGTTTACAGTCGCCCTGTGTCTAAACTTATAGTGCTACCAGAGATGCCCACGGATACCAACGGCACATAACTTCAAAGAACAGGGATCCTTATTTGATTTCTAATTTGCTGCACAAATTAGGGGGCGGCTGTATAAAATCCCTGTCGAACTCTTAATTTGAATTAATCTGTGACATCGCTTGTGGGCGGAGTCGGGACATGTACAAACTAGTTCATATCTGCGGCTGTAACGAGACATCGTTGTTTGTTTGGATGTGTGTGCGTTCTTGACAAAGTAAGTTTCCAATAGTGAATGTGTATGTGTATAAGTAGACGCATGTATGTTTATTCAATGCTATATTGTTGTCTGGTTATTTATGCACATGCTAGTTTAAGAAGAGTTTCGATTAACAGACATGCACAAATATACGGTCTCACTCGTGTGTTTACTGCAAATGCATATATTAACCATGCTGATCTTGATCGCTGAAATATATGTGTGATGTTATTTAGTATTCTATTTACAGTTTGAGAGGGCTGTTCTAAGTAATTTATCACTAGTAGGCCCATTTGAATTGGTTTAGCACCAAATCTTGTGACCCTGTTCTATTACTGGAGCAAGAGCTCCGCCTAGTGGTTGTTTACTTACATTTAATACTGCAATTCCCAAAGTTAATATTGCTTTATTATGGCAATATACCAGCATTGTAGTTAAATATTTTATGTTTATTTGATTTATTCATTGTTATTCATTTATTTCAGAAACCACACTCATGAACCTACATGTAAACGAACTACTTGTGGAGTTATTGGAATAAATCAATGCTTGGGAACTGAAGCTGTCATGAACTTATTTGCTTACAAACTTTCTGATCGAGGTTGAGGATGATATGTTGAAAAACCAGTCCGTTAATGTACATATCTTTAA